AAAAGCGCTATATCTCGTCTCCGTGGGAGTAAGGCGTCGTGAGAAAAATTCGAGAGGTTGCCAACTTCTGTGCCATCAAACATTTTCGGCACGCAGTAGAAGGTCGTAACTTTATCCTTTTTACCGACCATAAGCCTCTAACGTATGCTCTTCATACAAAGTCTGACCGCTACTCACCACGAGAGTGCAGACATTTGGACTATATCTCTCAGTTCACGACGGACCTTCGTCATATTAAAGGCGAGTCGAACTACGTTGCCGATGCTTTGTCACGTATTCAAGTGAATGCAGTTACTTTACCAGTGCTCGATCTTCCTGCTATGGCCGCCGCCCAAGCAAACGATCCCTCTTGTTCAGAAGCACAACAAAATACATCCCTTCAGTGTCAGGAAGTGCCCCTAGCTACTACCTCAGGCACTATCCTATGTGATACCTCTAACGGTCTACCCCGACCCATCGTACCCTCTGCTTATCGTCGTCTCGTCTTCGATGCTCTTGATGGTTTGTCTCATCCAGGTATCGCAGCTACATTACGTCTCATCGCTGCACGATACGTCTGGCCTTCCATGAACAAAGATGTCCGTATGTGGGTAAAGCAATGCTTACAATGTCAACGATCAAAAGTGCACAGGCACGTAGCCGCCCTCATCGGCACATTTGCTACGCCTGATGCTCACTTCAATCACGTTCATATTGACATTGTCGGACCATTACCACCATCGCATGGGTATGATCACATACTCACGTGCATTGATCGTTTTACAAGATGGCCCGAAGCTATTACCATCACTTCTATTACGGCAGAAACAGTTGCTCACCGCTTCGTAGAACGATGGACAGCTCTGTACGGTTGTCCCTCGACTGTCACAACTGACCGAGGACAACAATTCGAGTCCGAACTATTCTCCTCGCTAACTCGGCTGCTTGGTACGGAGCGCATACGCACTACCGCCTACCACCCAGCTTCAAACGGTTCAGTCGAAAGGTTTCATCGCCAACTCAAAAACGCTCTTCGAGCACACGAAAACAAAAATTGGTGCGAAACCTTACCGCTCGTCCTTCTAGGCATCAGAACGAGCTTAAAGGCAGATATTCAATGTTCCGCCGCTGAATTGGTATACGGCACGACATTGCGTCTGCCTGGGGAATTTTTCACACCACGGAGCAGTGATAACTTCAATAAATCAGACTACGTCCAACGATTGTCTGCATTTATGCGAGCACTGCCTCCGGTGTCAACTCGAGTACAACATCGACAGGTCGCTCTCCCCCGAGAGTTATCTACCTGCTCACATGTTTTCATTCGAGTCGATTCGGTACGCAAACCTCTGCAACAACCTTACGAAAGACCTTTTCACGTGATTTCTCGTCACGAAAAGACCTTCAAGGTTGCTCGACATGGCCGCGTCGAGATAGTCAGCATTGATCGTCTCAAGCCAGCACACGTCGATGACAGTGCCCTACTTGCTAATCCGAGACCCAATGGTAGACCTAGCGGGATCCTTAAAACTACCCCGGATCCCACGCTAGCGAAATCAGAGACCTCATTCTCACGTCCCAGTCAGTAGCACGCACCATCTGCACTATCTACGGATGAGACTCCGGTCTCACGTCCAGATCAGCAGACCACGCCGCACTTGCCTGCGGATGAGAATGCAGGCTCACAAGGTACGCACGAGGCTACTGTCTCGCGTTCCGGTCGCCGCGTACGCCTACCTGTACGCTTTGTCGAATAACTACTAATCCTCTACAGGTGCGGCATAGGACTTTCCCACCATACTACATGCATGCTACACTTTCTCTCCTTTTCCTTGATTTTTTTTATCCCGAGCCTATACCTCCGATCATTGTCCTGTTGGTACCGTCAACTTCAGTCAACCTTGGCGAAAGCTGGCCTGATCACCCACGCTCTTGTCAATGCACTCAGTCGACTTTCTGGTTACGAATATATCTGGTATACGAATGGCTTCGTACTGGTCGTTTCTGGCTCCTTCGCTCAGTCTGGTTCTGTCCTACGTCTGCAGCTGAATCTGGTCCGGACCCCTACTAACGCAATCACCAGACTCTGGATACGAGCCACGCTGGTGTGGCATGCCAACCCGATAGACGAACTTGGCACGTAATTATTGGCACGGCAGCGGACAAACTCTCGGTGACAACTCGAGCTTCATCAGTCGCTTCCTGTCGTCAACCTTTCTGCCCGACAAGCCCCCTGAACGCAGCCGCTAGGTATCGAAAGTGTAAACCCTTTCTAGGGGGGGGGCTCCTGTAGTGGAACTACTTTGTGAAGAAAACATGATTACTGACATATAAATACTTATTATTGAACGTATGTAACAATAACTGTTTTATTGCACACCTTTTGTTTATCTGTACTTGAAATCATTATTCGAGCGCCACCCACGCCAACCCTGTGGACTTATTGATCGTTTCGTGCCAACGTTAATTGTACTGGCTGAACACGTGATATTATCTCGATATCACGCGACCTCCTATCAATAAATATCGATATCCTATATCCTGCCTTCTGCTTAGAAATACGTTTGGGCGTTTAAACTTCGCAACCCCAACAGTTTCCTCAGCCGCCAATTGATCACTAGTGAGTCGTGATAAAGAATCTGCCTGATCGAATTTTTGAGTGCGTTGGTATTGGATTTCGAAATCATAACCCAAAAGTACTAAGGCCCATCGCTGAAGACGATTTGCAGAATGGGCTGGAATGCCAGATTTTGATCCGAATATTGCCGAGAAAGGCTTATGATCTGTGAAAAGCGTGAATCTCCGACCGTACAGAAACTTGTGGAAACGGCGCACAGAAAACATAAGAATAAAAGCCTTTTTCTCTATCTGGCCGTATTTCTTTTCTCCTGGGGTTAGTGTGCGCGACGCATGCTTAGCGGCTTTTTCTGCCGCGTCTATAAACTGATGTGAAATAACAGCACCCAAGCCACACGCCGAAGTGTCTGCAGCTACGATGATCGGTATTGATGGATCGTCGTGTGTGGACTTGAGCTTACAGAACGCCGCGTAACACTCTTTAGTCCAGTTCCAAGTGCTGTTCTTCTGCAGTAGACAATTCAGTGGAGCGCGAATGCCATGCGTCGAGGGAACGAACGCTGAATGATAGGTAACGAGTCCCATAAAGGGACGTAGTTCCGAGACATTAGTGGGGGTGGGCACCAGTTTGATAGCTCGGGTGTTCTCAGGATCCGTCGGCATAGACGACGTCGGCGCCGACTGTAATAAAAACTGGTATTCCTCTGGGCGTAACCGGAACCTGTCGTCACTGATGCGTTGCAGTACCAATGTCATGCGTTCCTATAGCTGTTCTAATGTTGTCGAGATAAGCTGCGACTCCCGAGGTACCCGATAAGATGGTATTCATTAGTTGCTGGATGATTGATGGGGCAGTCTTGACACCAAAAGGCAGACGGTTATACTGAAACAAACCACGATGAGTATTGATAGCAAGCAGCTCTCTTGATGCTTCAGCTACTTCCGCTTGCGAATGAGCATCAGCTAGATCCAGTTTTGCGAAAAACTTTCCCCTATTCAGCATAGTAGACAGATCCGCGGGGACTGGCAGAGGATGGTGATGCTGTTCCAGAGCTGCGTTTAGACCTGAAGGTAAAGTATGCTATTTTTAGGGTCACTACCAACTTTTTTCTTCCGTTATGAGAAAATTGCATTATTGCAGATAACGGTCATTTGAGGAGAAAATCTTACTGCCGTCGAACTCCAGTACAAAAACAGTAAAAGGTCGTTCTCTTAGATCTTCGATTTCTGCAGTTACAATCAACTTGTTCAACATGGTGAGGGCTGAAAGAACGACTATTTAAGTTAATATAGCTCGATTGAGTAATCATGATAGGCAAGCAACTTGGATGACACTCCTGGTCTACAACTTTTCACGAACATTCCATGTACCTGGTTGTTATAAGGGGCATCAGCCTCGTGACTTCCGAAGAAACTCGGCTTTCATCATGACACATCATATAAATGAAGACATTCTAACTCCGAGCGTAGAGTTTAGATAGTTTGAACTATTTTTTTCTGGTTAGCGTTTTATTAGCGAGTTGGTTTTCTACGGGGTGGAGTCGCTAACTCCATACCAAACCCTCCTCCTTTATCCGAGTTTGGTACCGGCACTAGCCTCAGAAGGGATCCAGGCGGAGTTTATGATAAGCGAACCCAACCATTTTGTCATGGTTGCAGCCACGGTTGAGAATTTCAAAACCAAACAGCTATCCAAAGCCATCTGAATTTTAATGGTGTTTTCAGACAACGTCAGTTAGTTTAGGATATGTAATTCTCAAACCAGAGTTGATTTTTTATAAAGAATACTGATTATTTGTACTCAGTCAACTTAAACGCATTTCCATTAAAAGCTTATTTAGAGTACTTCTCAATCAATAAATTTCAGTGTAAATCACTTGCAATTAGTTATTTGATCTTTGGTGTATTTTTCACTATGATTTAAGTTCAGTGAAAATTATTCAATTCAGAAATTCATTGTAATCATTGTAATCAATATACAAATGATTAACACGAATCGCATAACTGGGTCAATAAAGCGTTTATACACAAATTTAAAATATAGTTAGAACGAAAAAAGGGGGAACAAGTAGTTTTGTCGATTGTATGGAAAATGTAAAACGCCTAAACATATATTTCAATTAGTAATGAAATTCACTTTAGAATATACGAAAATAGCTTTCTGAAACCACTCATTTTTCGTATTGGTTAAACTTCCAAGATATTGCTTTTTCTTGATAGAAAGTAAAAGTGCTATAACTATTTGAGCTAACTATTTTAAGCATGCTTTCATAAATTGATAGTCAAGGTATAAACTAATATATCCTTTGTGTAACATAACAACTATCGAATACAATTGGTTGTAACACATATTCCATCATATACGATTGATCAATGTTCATCGGAGTAAAATGATTGGAAATAGTGAAATAATCGAGAATTATAGTTTCGGAAAACTTACTTACCCACCAGTTGTCTTTGCTAGAGCATCACGTAAACGATCACTTAATCCTGATAGAGCTCGTGAATAATTCGATTGAAGTTCACATCTGTGTTTTCATAAAAAATAATTACAAAAAAAAACAACCCCAATAAAAGATGTGTATGAGAGTAACCAGATAGTAAAGAAAAATGTTAGTATTATCCGTAAATACCTCTGGATAATTTAAAGTAGGTTCTATTTTTCGCCGTACAAAAACCTCAAAAACTATTATACGTAGCTTATAAACCAGAGCTTCCGTTACTTTCGATGATTTTAGAACTACTGATTGAGCATTGCTGAAGTCAGAAACAGAGTACTTGCTAAGTATGGCAAATCGATTGGTGAGGTAGTGAATCTCTTTCAACTGAAGTAGTTAGAAAAGTGTACTAATTATTCCCATTCACTTACTACTTTGATGGATGATAACATCTGATGTAGGGATATTTTGGAAGAAAGCTAGAGGTACATGATGCAGTGAGTCAATCAAAAGTAACCAGATGAAAAAGCGATATATATATATATATATATATATATATATATATATATATATATAAGGACCTGAAAACGATTAGAATGAATGCTTTTTTCAATAATAACTTTTTGTACTCAACAATAACAATAACAAAGTAACACAAAAGATTTGTAACCACAAACTTTAGGTATATACCTTTGGAAAAGAATTTTTTGTTCCAAACTAGCCATAATGTTCCGATGAGTGTTCCTGGATAGCAGTTTAAGGCAAATTATGACCTCGAACAGAACTGAACATAGGATAGAATGATATCCTTATTTCGATGAGAGTAGAAATCCACATTATCTACATTATTTTACTTAAATGTAGTGCAATATTTACTCAGTCTCATAAGTATTATTGCCTGTACTGCAAAAAACAATAGTCGGAAATTCATGATAAAGCTAGTCAGTAAAAAAGGTTGATGATTATTACTTATCTAGGTAGCTTATAGAGAATTGCTACATTTGAATGTAATTTTAAATATACGTTGACATATTGATATAAAAAGTGTTGAAACAACTTACAAACACAGTAGACGAACCTGAATATAAGATAGTATTGTAATTAAAGTACGAAATAAAATACAGCTAACCAGAGGCAGAGTATAGTAGAAAATAATGATCTAGTTCACTGCCAGAAGTGTTTGGAAAGCAATTATAAACAAATTCATGGATATAGCATGTTCATTGCGCAAGCAAACAAGGCAGAAACAATAAATTTATGATACCACTTTGTTGTGAAAAATTGGTCTCCAAAACGGACTCAGTTGTTAAAGGACGCACTTGCTAGTATTCTAGATCGACACGGATGTCTTAAGACATTCCCAATCTTTGGTAAACGAGCAAGTAAACAAATATTGGGAAAAAGTAGGGTGCTAGGTAGATCGAATTATTAGGTTGTGATCGACTGAGGTAGCTGGGATATATCACCTATCCTCAACCAAGCCTATCTCCAAGAATAATATTGACTGGAGTCAGTCAGTCAGCTATAACGTAGAACTTCGTATGTACGTACATCAGTTTAAGTTGCTACACCACATTATCACAAAGATCGAATTGTCAATTCCAAACCCAAAGTAGTAGAGGTATTAGAAGTATTAGCAATAATGGAAAAGATTAGGGTTCGAAGAAATTATTCAAGAAGTATATCCCAGTGAAAAAAATTTAAAATGAGATAAGAAAAAGTCCTCATCTCATGAGGTCATGAGAGAAAACGAAGAATGGATGTTTCTGCGCCATTGCAAACGATTTTGAGCCATGTCATTCAAAGTCTCTAACCATCGGTTACTATTGTTTCGAGGACCCCAACCAGGGTAGTTTAAATCTACCAAAATGGCTCAGTTCAGTTATCAGTGATTTCATGGATTCATGCCATGTTTTGGCTTGTCAGCCTCTAGCTTTCTTCCAGCTTACCACTAAATCAGACAACATAGTCCGTCGAGGTTGGGTATACGTAAAACATGTTCCAACCACCTGAGATGATGATTCACTACTTCACTGATTGATCTGCCATCCTTACAGAGTAGCCTTTTCCTAACCCCATCAGTGCTTACTCCGTGGTCCCAGGATGTTCGAGCAATGCTTCGAATATACCAATGATCGAAAGATTTAAGAAAGAATGACCAAAAATCTTACTTTTCTTGGAATATATTCATAACACACTGAGTGAGGTGCATTCCTTGCTTGTACTCTTCATATTGTTTATCGAACCCACTTCGATTCTTGTGAATTAAAAAGGGAAGTGAAATAAGAAAATCGTGTTATAAACACAATGCAGCTGGTTGACTGATACTAGAAAATAATATTCTGAATAATATTTTCAATAATATTGATAATGTGATTAACTATGACTTGTATCCAGCGCATAACAGAAAAATCAGTTAACAATCTTTGGGTAATGTTTAAATCGGAATCGTTTACATTAACCACATGAAGTTGAACAAACCAGCTTCAAGTTGAAGATAAAGTAGGGAAAAGAAGCCGCAGATCTGAAGGACACATCAAGAATATCCCCGAAATGCGTAGTGAAGCAAGTCCCAACTTAAAATCTTCACGACAAGCGGAGAGGAACACTGCTCCGATAACTGGAGGCAAACGTCAAAAGAATGAATAGCACTATCAAAAGCTTGGAGAACTCAGGAAGGTGTTGGCTGGAGTATCCAGGTCAGCAGTCTATGCTTCACGAGAGGCAACAGGTGTAAGTCACTTTTACCTCTTAAAAGACTAAATTACGTATGCATATAGATATGTGTCAAAGAATATAGTTCATAGTAAGTCTAAATTAATTGCTAATAACGTCTCAAAGGTAAAACAACTGCTACACTGATAAGTAGAAATATGATTTCAGACCAATAGAGATTTTATTTTTTCATCCAAACTATAAATGATAATATGTAAGAAAGTTCACTTGAAGAACTGCAGGACAAAAAGCAGCAATTTAGGGTCGAAAGGCGAATTCGTACAGCTGGCTGTAAAGGGATGTGACAGAAGAGTGTTTCCCTAAGACGACCAGCACTAAATCTGGAATCCCATAAAATGATGAAACTGAGTAGTAGTAATTGAGTTAATACTCCAACTTTGGAGAAGCTCTCATAGTAAACGTTGGGGAAATGTTGGGTTTCATTTCACCAAGTCTCTATGGAATAATTCGTAAGTCGAGATATTAGGAATTTGTAGACCATTGAAGTTGTGGCCTATGTACATATGGCACTCATTTAACACCATAACTTACTAGGGAAAGAAAAAAAATTGTGGTTTGCCCATTTAAAATTTATATGAAAACCACTTACCAGGATGTCAAACGGACGGTTAGTGTTCAGCAGCATAAATAACAGATTTCGAACTTGAAGCTAGGACATCCGCAGCCGACAAGTGCCTCGGAAGGTCATACTAGTTTCGGTTTTGCAAGGACAGAAGTAGAGAAAACTGATGTAATTATGATATTAATGGATCCTCGTTTTATGTCATTTTTCTACTGAATTAGGACGAATCGTAGCAATTGGATGAAGATAAGAGACTCTAACCTGAACCAGTTGATTCCTTGGCACTCACCAGCGTCGATCGTCTAGTTTCAGTATAATTCAAGATCTTCGACTGTATCCAATAGGGTTTATTTAGATACTAAACTCCGCTTTTCCTGTCAAATAACAGTTAATTGAGAGAGATACTTCAGGTAAAACAAGTAATTAAAGAAACTATTTCATCTGTTATTTGATATACGTAAAATCTTACAAACCGTGTGCTCGTAGCCGATAATCAAGAGTCAGTTTGAGACTGTCTGTTTGGCGGAATGTGATTAGGTCAGCTGGATGTCTTTCAAATTGGGATATTCCCTAATAAGAAGGACTTAGTTAACTAGAGTCTGCTCTATGATATCCAGTCCATAGAGGATTAAATCTGGGATGCACTAGTGATTTCCATGAGGAATTTTTCCACAAGTGTGGCATCGAGGATTGTTTTATGACTTAGAATAACCAAATATATTTTGTCGATCTACATAGGACCTGTCCTTTACCCCTATAACCTACGTGCCTTTAAATTTATATCCTTCCAGGAGATACACTACCTTTTTCACGAGCTAGTCTAGACCTACTGAATTATTTGCACTCGATTCTTGTTATTTTGGTAAGGTCTTAGGTATATGGTAATGAGATTCACATCCCCTCTGAAGAAATGAAGTACAGAAGGGTGTTTGGTCTCAAGATATGGGCGGATGTAAATTTTTGCTGCTATCGAAAAGATTTCAAGGGTCAGAAAGCAACTCTACCTTCAAACGAAGCAGTAATAAAGTAGGCTTTGGATATACATTTCTGATGGTTGGTACAGATGTTCAAGCTAACTGTTATGAATAGGCCTAAGAAACTCGACACTTAGTACCTGGATGATCAGAGACCGCAAGCGGGGTTTTAAAAAGCGTCCTTACACATTTCTGAAGTATGAATTCCAATCAGTTGATTTCACCTTAATTTTTCAGCAGCATTTCGTTTCTTTGCAGTACCTGCGAGTGAATGTTGCATTTGAAGGATTTCTCTGCTCCCGATCCTACTTGACTGTGAACGGTGATGGGTGAACAACAAATATAAATCTCCAACTAACTCCCAGCACTATACTCAGGTTAACCTAGTGCACAACTACAGTAATGAAGGTCACATACGAATGAAGTCAGAAAAGTTTGTTTCAGGCATTCACTTGTGAACGGGGACAGTCAGAAGTATGGCCTAGAGAAAGAATCCTCATCCGCTCTAAAACATTACTTATTGCCTGCGCTGATGTGCTACTTAGGAGTGTTTGTATTCTGTTTATGAATTAGATAATCCAAGAAACGTTCATTTGGTATGTGAAGTTAAAGGGGGGTAATGTACTTTAAAATGTCAAAGAGTTGAAATTGCATTCTCGTACTTTTTTATTGATGAGAAGTTGTACTGATGCTGTCCAAACAAGCTTAAAAGGCACCGATAGGATGGGAATCTCATGGACCCAGGATCATTAAAGCATCCTTCAAAACAAAGAAAGAGGACATTACAATGAACGTCATCCAATGCTATGCGCCACAATGAAACTGAAACTAAGGAAGTACTGGACAAGGGGGCAGACAACATCGCATATGTTTAATACGGCTTTTCTTCGCGATACTGTAAAACTCAACGAATTCAAGATAGCCCCCACCAATAGGTTCCAGGCCTTTCAGGATCTACTCAATGGAGAGGACGCAACATTGGAGAACAATTGGAAAGGGATCAAGGAGGCAATCACTTCAAGATGTCAGGAGGTCCTTGGTCGCAAGAAGCACCATCACAAGGAATGGATCTCTGTTGGTACTCTTGCAAAAATTGAAGAAAGGGGGAACAAAAAGGCAACAATCAATGTCAATTGAACAAGAGCAGAGAAAGTTACCGCACAAGTTGCATACACAGAAGCAAACGGGGAAGTGAAGAAGAGCATCAGAGCTGACAAACGAAAATATGTGGAAGATCTAGCAATGACGGCGGAAAAGGCTGCAAGAGACGGAAACGTGAGACAATTGTACGAAACAACAAAGAAGCTCGCCGGGAACTATCGTAAACCAGAACGACCAGTGAAAAGCAAGGAAGACAAAGTAATCAGCAACACTGAACAACAGCGAAATAGGTGAGTAGAGCACTTTAAGGAACTCCTGAATCGACCAGCTCCTCTGAAGACACCCAACATCAAACCAGCATCCACGGATCTCCCAATTAATATTGGCGCACCTACGATTGAGGAGATCAGTATGGCCATCAGACAAATCAAGAGCGGTAAAGTAGCAGGACCAGACAACATTCCAGCAGAGGCAATGAAAGCAGAGGTGGAAGCAACTGCGAAAATATTTCACATCCTCTTCAAGAAGATTTGGGATGAGAAACAAGTACCATCAGATTGGAAAGAAGGATACTTGATCAAAATACCAAAGAAAGGCGATCTTAGCAAGTGTGAGAATTACAGAGGCATTACTCTTCTTTCAATACCAGGCAAAGTCTTCAACAGGGTATTGTTAAACAGAATGAAGGACTTCGCAGACGTCCAACTTCGAGATTAACAGGCCGGATTTCGTAAGGATCGATCGTGTACTGACCAAATTGCTACATTACGGATCATTATGGAACAATCAATTGAATGGAACTCACCACTGTACATCAACTTCATCGACTACGAGAAAGCATTTGATAGCGTGGATAGGAAAACACTGTGGAGACTTCTTCGACACTACGGTGTGCCTGAGAAAATAGTCAACATCATACGGAATTCCTATGATGGATTCAACTGCAAAATCGTACACGGAGGACAGCTAACAGACTCTTTCGAGATGAAGACTGGTGTGAGGCAAGGTTGCTTACTGTCACCCTTTCTCTTTCTCCTGGTGATCGACTGGATTATGAAGACGTCGATATCTGGAGGGAGGCATGTTATCAACTGGACAGTTAGAACGCAGCTGGACGATCTGGACTTCGTAGATGACCTGGCTTTTCTATCCCACACGCAACAACAAATGCAAGAGAAGACGACCAATGTAGCAGCAGCCTCTGTAGCAGTAGGTCTCAACATACATAAGGGAAAAAGCGAAATTCTCCGATGCAACACAACATGCACCAACCAAATCACTCTTGATGGAGATGCCTTGGAGGACGTTAACACCTTTACATATCTGGGCAGCATCATCGACGAGAAAGGTGGATCCGATGCAGATGTGAGGGCGCGGGTCGGCAAAGCAAGGGCTGCATTTCTACAGTTGAAAAATATCTGGGACTCCAAACGACTTTCAGTCAAAACCAAAATCAGGATTCTCAATACAAATGTCAAGACAGTTCTACTGTATGGAACGGAAACTCGGAGAACTACGAAAGGCATCATCCATAAGATACAAGTGTTTATTAACAGTTGTCTACGCAAAATACTTTGGGTCCGTTGGCCAGACAAACTCAGTAACAACCTACTGTGGGAGAGACCAAATCAGATTCCAGTGGAGGAGGAAATCAGGAAGAAGCGGTGGACGTGGATAGGACACACATTGTGGAAAGCACCTAACTGCGTCCAAGACAAGCCCTCACATGTAACCCTCAAGGCAAAAGGAAAAGAGGAAGGCCAAGGAACACATCACGCCTAGAAATAGAGAAAGATATGAGAAGAATGAACAAACATTGGACAGAACTGGAGAGGGAAGCCCAGTACAGAGTTGGTTGGAGAAAACTGGTGGGCAGCCTATGCTCCATTAGGGGTAACAGGCGTAAGTAAGTAAGTAATGTTTCTCGAAAACATGCTACTTAATTCACTCTGGGTACTCTCTAGTATCATGATTCATTTGACTGATTTCTAGCACGTTTACTTATATACAGCTATAGCTATTATCAAAATCCCAACATAATACAGATGATCCCACCTGAGGTTTCTGCCTGGTTCCAAGCACGGATGCGGTAGGAAACCGATGTGGTAGAAGAACGCTAAACAGAAAAACTAATACAAACAATTTAAACTCTACCCTGATGGTCAGAAGGTCTTCATTTAGAAAAGTTATGACGTCGCGTGAGGAAAAACCAAGTTTCTTGGGAAGTCACAAGGCCGATGCCATTTTTGACGACCACTGTGGGATAACGGAAGAAACACTAAATTTGCTGCGGAAGAAAAGAAACAATCTTGTCGTGCTTGGAATAAGTGAAAAACATTAGACGCAAGTTAGACAGAAGAGACTAGCTTAAAGAAGGAAGTTGTTGTATACCGGTGGTGAAGAAGATAATTCCTCACTCAAAAGGAGTTGCACTGATGCTGTTCAAAGAAGTACAACAAGCCCTCATAAGATGGAAATCTTATAACCACAGGATTGCAGTGATCTTTTGTATGAAGAGAACGTGATTGGCGTAATGGAAACATTTTTTACTATAACTAATTGTACCAGCATATGTATCGGCCTATGCTCCATTGGAGGCAGTAGGCGTTACTAGTAAAGTAATCCAGGGAGAAACGGGAAATATGGAGTATATTTCGGATGTAGCTGGACAATCTGAACTTGGTAGATTATCTTGCCCCCCTACACTTAACGCAATAGCAAATGCAGAAGACCACCAGCATACAGGCAACCTGTGCAGCAGTAGATCTGAACTTTCACAAAAAGGAAAGCAAGATCCTCTGATACATCTTAACATGCACCAACCAAATCAAACTTGATAGAGGTGGTTTGGGAGATGAAGAAACCATTACATACTTGAGCAGGATGATTGATGAAGAGGGCAGAACTGGTGCAGATGTGGAGATACATATTAGGACATCTGGAACTCAAAACAACTGTCAGCCAACTCCAAAGTCACTGTTTCCCAAA